AAAATGTAAAAATGAAAGAAAAAATAAGAGTGAAAATTTAAAGCAATGGAAATAAAAGAGAATGTAGACTTGGGAATAAAAATTAATTTAAAACAATATTTAAAAATAAAATGCTTTATTATGTCATTCTATAAAAATGTCAAATAAAAAAAAATTGTAAAACTTTTCAAAAATAAAAAAAAAGAATTTTTGTTTTTTTAAAAGAATTAAATTATGTTGCAAACATTCCTTTAAGCCCAGATTTAATTAAAAAGAAACATTACAACTTTGAATGCTTTTCGAATTGATTACAGGATCAAGAAAAATCAATTCGAAAAAACATTTAAAGTTGGCAAGTTTCTTTTTAATTAAATCTGGCTTAATTAAATTTAAATTTAAAAACATTTCCTTAATATTTTGTTAAAGAGAAAAATTGAAAATTGAAAAAATTTTTAACTCCTTTTTTAAAAAAAACTTGCCAAATTGTGAAATGTTTTTTCTTGATTTTGTAATCAAGTGAATCATGAATTTTTATTAGTTTCAGATTGTTTAAATAAATAATATTGAAAAATTTATATTTTTATCAAAAAAGAATGTCAAATTTAATTTTATTTATTGCTTTTTTAATGAAGATTGAATGTCTGAATTTTCGTTAATTAATTTCATTTTTCATGATAAAACATTGCACGAATAAATTGCAAAAACTGTCGCTATAAATTTAAACAATTTTTGTTGAGTTGAGAAATTTACATTATTTATTTTTATGGGGGTATGAAAATTAAATTGAATTTAAAAATGACATTTATAAATATAAATAAATTAATCTTAAAAATCGTTTTTATTAACTCTTTTTTAAGCAAAAATGTGCAGAAAATATTTGAAACATATGCCTATTTAATTAATATTGTATTAATTGGAAAACATATTTATAATACTTTAAATAAATGAGAACTCAAATTTGCCAAAGTTATTGGAATCGGCGTGTAATTATCGTTTAATTAAATAAATTAAATTAGAAGTCCCGCGTATGCAGTTTCTATATAATTTTCATCGTTTGATGCATTAGCTTCTGAAATTCGACACATTGCAATTCACTGTGTATTGAAATGATTTGTTCAATTTGTAATAGGTACATGAAAATTCAAATTAGTAAATCCTTAAATGAAAATCAGCTTTAAATATTTCAAAAATAATGCAAATTTAATAAAATAATAAAACAATTATTTTATTTAAAAAAGTGACAATAAAAATGCAGTTCAAGAAAAATTTCCACTATTATCTATTTAAATATTTTTTTATTTTTTTTATGCTAATTGGAAAAATAATAATAAGCCTAAAAAATAATTATGAAATATTCATTATAATTTACTAATTATATATTATTATTATTATGTCTAATAAAATTCTTTAAAATGAAAATGAAAATAATAAAATGTACTTTATTATATTATATATTTTTTATAAAGTGTTGAGAATAAAAAGATTATATGTATGATTTGAGGGTGAGAGGTTTGTGGGCGATAAGGTCAATATTCACGGTGTGAGTAACCTCAGGAAATTTCGATGGAAGAGCGTGGAGTATATAGAAAAACTAGACGCCACCGAGTAAGATATTGATTTAAATATAAAAAAGACTACCGTAGAGATAAACGGGGTTTGCAATGTCTTCTTTTCATAGAGAATATCTTCTTCTTTTCTAGTTTTTTGCGTGTCTTTCTTCAATGTTTTTTTAAGTCCAACCGGGCTTGGGTTGAAAGATCTTTCCTGTCCCTTTCACGATCCTTACATATGTATATACAAAAAGCTCGTGCAGATTTTGTACGTTATTTGCTTTTATACCCGGACAACTTCAGTGGGATTTACCTTACATTACAAAAAAAAACTAATTTCTTTTTTCACCACCAAATTTTTAACTTGTATACATTATTTATTTTTTCGTTTTATACTGCTTCGGGTGTGACTAAATATAAAGTTTCGAGATTTTTTATTAAGATTTAACATGCGGCATGTTGACACGAAGGAAAATTGATAAGGAATTTAATTAAACTGCGGAAAGTTAGATTTTCTCTTATACGGGCAGACAGATTTCACTAATAAGTGTATTTCCAGCGAGACATTACATTTTATATTAAAAAATTCTTTTATCGCATTTCTCTCTGTTTTCGATATATTTTCAATGTTTCACAGTTTAAAAAAACAACTTTTTTTTGTAAATATAAATCATGTCTGTGGAATACTTTTTCTTGTGTATATGTATATATTCATTAAATTGAGCGCATGCAAAAAAGCGCCAATTCCAATCGTTTTCATTCAACATTGGAATTTTACAAAAGATTCTTTGCTGCAATTGAAACATTTCATTTATTTTTTTCTCTCTCTTTTCTCACAACTACATGTTGAAATCACACATTTATTAGGATTGAAAATTTCCTATTCAGCTTACACATTCAAGTGTTAAAATTGTCCATTATCAAAATATTCTTCAATAACTGTCTTTTTCATTGATATACATATATACATGTTTTATCTCCAATATTACTGCGTGAAACGTTTATTATGACTATAACTTTATTAAATTTTGCTTCCTCGTGGAGGTAGCTTTGTAGTCCTTTCGTTTATACAAATTTTTAAAGTGGCGGAAACAAATTTTTTTCTATATAGAAAAATGTTATATGAGATCCTGATCAATTGTCCGGATGTATGTATATGTGTGTGTGTGTGTGGATCCTTTTTTTGTTTAGACGATAACTTTAACAGGTTTTAATGGATTTAGATAAAATTTGGTAGGCTCATTTATCATATTAATATCTCCAATCTGACCAAAGGATTTTAAAAAATATAAAAAAAAAATTTTTATCGTCTAGCTAAGGTGTCAGCTTACACAGTAAGGTCGTGGTAAGTTTACATGGTAAGGTTGTGGTAAGCTTACAGTCTCTCCTGCACAAATAAATAACAAAAGAAATGTTTTATCTTCAATTAAACCAAATAAACTTAAATAAAGTATTTCTTTATCAAATTCCTTTTTAATCTTTTATTGATAAATATTATTGCATTTAAAAACTTATTATTTCTTATTAATCAAACACGAAATTTGTCTCTTTTCATGATCGCAGCATAATGAGACTTAGTCATTTCATGAAATGCTTTAAAATATTAGACACATTGTGTACACAGAAAATTATAAGGTATTAAAATAAGCTCCAAAGCTTATTATCTTAATCCAATTTTGCTTATTTTAATACCAAAATGGATTAAACAAGCAAAATTGGTTTAAAATAATAAGCGTTGCAGCTTATTTTAATGCCTTTTAATTTTCTGTGTAATTTTATACCATTACACTAAATGCATAATTAACCGTTGCATTTCATGAAATGTCTAAAAATTTTAGACACATAGTGAAATAAATATTTATTTCACAATGTGCTTGCGCTTCATGAAATGTCAGATTTCACTAAGAGGCTACGACATATATACATATATGTAGGAAAATTATATTGCCAACTTTTTCACATATATGAGAATTTTTGAGTCATTCACTTTTGGTAATATGAGAAAAGAGATTCTCTTTATCGTGCACAGAGGAAAAGGACATTTTAGCGTTAATGACGAGCGAGAGTGTAGAATCTAACGACCAACGTGGGCTATTTTGTAACTCGCGTGGAATAATAATCGTATGCATTTACACACACATGCCCAACTTCTCTCGTATTATAGCAACTTGTGTAATCGCATTTTGAGATATATGTACATTTTCCGGGACCCGTGCTTTTGAAAACGGACACGCTAGATATAGTCGAAAGAGAGAGAAAGAGAGAGAGAAGCTGCGAAGCGACCAAATGTAGAGAATCGTAATTTTGGTCCATGACGGTCACCAATTAAAGTAATGAACAGGGCAAATTGGGCCGCCGAATGTCAAGCGCGTATAACAATTTTAGAATTGTATTTCCCGTGACCATATCGCATCGTATTTATTAAAGGCACGAATTCAATGTTGTGAAATTGCGAAAAATTCACTTCACCTGTGTCGGATACATCTGGTGAATTGACAAATAATTATATAAATTCAAATTGGATTAGTTAATTGCATTTTTTATCACCAGCGCAATAACAGGAGAGTGATTTTTACCTATACTAATACAATTATACGTACAAGAGTTTTGGATGTTTTTTTTGTTTTCAAATCGGTGAGATTTCAATATGATGAAAATAGTGGAATTTTCCAACTAAAGCATTTCAGTCTACAATTGTTATTGAAATTCAGTTATATTTCACATTGAAAACCAGTAAAATTAGTACTGATTTAACTAAAACAAAACTGTTTTACCGATTGAAGATAATGAAAAATTTTGTTTAAATCAACAAAATGATATTCTAATTTGTTCCAATCTTTTTTTAAAACTTAATTCTTATTTGGCCTAATCTTTTTTTAACTTGATTATCATTTAGACTATTCTTCATATAGCCTAATTTTTATATGACCTAGTCTTTATTTAACCTAATTTTCATTTTTCATAATTCTTAATGTACCTAATCTTTATTTACTCAAATTCTTATTTAGCCTAATAAAAATTGTCTTACATTTGGATTAGGCCAAATGACAATTAGGTCAACTAGAAATTATGTTACATAAGAATTAGGCCAGATAAAATATAGGTCCAATAAAGATAAGGCCGTGTAAAAATTAGACTTAATTAACCTAATTTATTATTAGGCCATTTAAAATTTGAATAAAATTCATCCATACCTTAAAAATGCAATTTATGTATTGAAAATTCTAATGAGCATATAATATAATTAAAAGCATTTCATTAAATAAATTGTGACTTTGATTGCTTGTGCGCCATTAATATTGTTAAGTAAAATGGATTTTCATTTGTGGGATGAAGAAGGGGAGTAAGTTAGGGGTATCCCAGCTGGGAAAGGGCAATTTATCTTAAGCTTATCTCGGTATCGAAGTTTCTTGCGGTCTTCACGCCCGTCAAATATAAATTAATTCTGATTGGGTATTTTCCCTTTTACAGATAATGGGTAAGTGGTACGTTGTGGAAATTTTGGAGCATATGCAGAAAGACAGCACACATCAAAATGAATATCGCGTTACGGAAAGCAATACATGTCCAATTATTAGAATAAAATCAACTGATCCACATTCACTGAAATTATTCTGGAGCGAAGAGGCTGGCGATGTTGCCTATCACTTTAATGTTGATTTAAAACGTGCAGGATTTTGGACGACAAACATTAAACAAAATGGTGAGTAACTTAATTATTATTCATTAATTATTAATTAATAACTGATCGAAATATATCAAGCGGGAGGTTTGACATCGAGAATGTGTTTGAACATTTGTGATGATTATCCAAATATACATTCACAACTCGATTGTCCATAAACCGGCTGAGCTCGGTAAGTCGGTAAGGTAGATTTCTTTGTTGGTAATTTTTTATATTTTCATTTTTCAAAAAACTGCTTTACAATAAGTCGGTAAAGTAGATTTCTGTATCGGTAATTTTTTAATTTTTCAAAACACTGTTTAACCATCAGTCGGTAAGGTAGATTTTTATGACGGTAATTTTTTATATTTTCATTTTTCAAAAAATTTATTTACCATCAGTCGGTAAGGTAGATTTCTGTGTCGGTAATTGATATATTTTCATTTTTCAAAATTTTCTTTACCATCAGTCGGTAAGGTAGAATTCTGTGTCAGTAATTTTTTTATATTTTCATTTTTCAAAAAAAAAACTGTTTGACCATCAGTCGGTAAGGTTGATTTCAATGTCGGTAATTTTTTATATTTTCTGTTTTCAAATATTTTTACCCTAATGTGAAGTAACCCTAATGAGCACGTAGCGCTCGCCAGTGAAATTCGATTTTGCAAACGCGCATTATAAAAAAATATATATATTTACTATAATATTGATTCAATTATAGGAGATAGTTTTTTTTATTACTTGGTAATAAACTGCTTTTTCAAGGATTAAAACTTAATTCAATACAATGAATCCCATGTATATTGTACCCGCATAATTCGCATTCCCGCTTACATCGGATTTTTTTCCCGATCCCTTGAAATCCGATATTCGTGGGTTTCACTTTAATTATTAAATTTGTTAATGAATGCTTAACCGTAAAAAATCTAGCAAAAATATGTTTTATTTATTAATGAAAGTTAATGTTACTAAATTGAATATCGATAAGCAATTGCAATTTAAAGAGATAAGAGAGATGAAGAGAAGATGATTGACGAATCGGCAAAGAGAGAAGTAAAGCTTATAAGCTTCTCCGAAGGCGATTATCATAAGCTGACTGGTACCAGTCACTATTTAATAATATTACTAATAATAATAATAATAATAATGATAATAATAATAATAATCATTATCAAATGGAAATTACAGAGGCCCCAAAAGTTTATAGAGAACATAGACTAAATTGGATTAACGAGCAAAACGTAAAGGGAGCTTCTGTACTAGAAACTATATAACAACGAGAATATTATTCCTGGGATAAATTTATTGAATTTCTCCCATGTGCGGACATTTCATCCAGTTTGAGATAGATTTCCATTTCAGCTGACAAATTCTCATGATTATTACAAAAGACGATACGTATATATAGTGTAATGGCATAAACTTTCTTATATATATATAATGAAAGACTTATTATTCTGAAAGGAGAATTATTATCCTCTAACGATTTAATGACTTGAGTTGACGTTAAAAGGCAACCATTAAAAGGACGAATTTCATTTCTATATAAGAACGAAAATTCTTTGGCTTAGTTGCTTTGCTGCTGCTTGCCTTCTGATACGAACGTAATGAATCGTTACGATCGTTCAGAGACGCCTTCTACTTCCTGTAAAAAAAAGAAGCTTATAAACTACTTTTTTCCACGGTGCAAAAGCATTTTTTTTTTTAAGTATTTATGTATTTTTTATTTTGAGCACAATTCAATTATTTTTAAAATAACAATTTCTTTAGGTTTCTATGATAAAAAAATTAATATCAATTAATTTTCTTCGCACTAATAGAAATAATAGAAAATATACTTATTTACTTAACCCTTTGCCTGTTTAGTTGACCGTTATCAAAGTATATTTTTCTGCATAACGTGTAGAAAAATAATAAATACTGCGAAGAAAAGTATACTTTTTAGTATAGTATGCAGCAAAGTAATAATAAAATAGTTCAAAGAAGTATACTTTCCTGCACGCTTTTTAGAAAAGTTATAAAAACTGTGCAAAAAAGTAAACTTTTCTTTGTATTATGCAGCAAAGTTTATTTATGCAGAATTCAACAATTCTGTGTTGCATTTATGTTAAAGTTGCATTTTTCTTGCAGTTGTTACACAATTGAAAAATAAAATTTTATCCATATTTTATAATATACATATTGTTAATCCATAAAGATTGGAAAAAATTACAAATGATCATTATACATTATTAATATTAAAGACATGTGTTGCACATATATAACTAAATAGTTGTGACTATATTTGTACAGTCATTTTTAATATGTGAGCTTAACAATGAAATATATATATATATATATATATATATATATAGATTTTGGTCCATTAAAGCTCACCCACCATCGTATTTTCTCGTCAATGTCAAATACGCGCTTGACGGCTCAACGATTGCCAATTTACGATCCACCGATTATCCGCATAACAGCTTCTATTGCAAACATTCTATATCTGCAAATAAGCCCTAGTGTGTCCTTATATATCAGGATAAGGGAAAAAATATAGATGGAAAAATCCAAGAAATGCGTTTTTCCACAGAAAAATTATTTTCGCAAAATTTCGCAGTGAAATTATTTCTCTCATCTGAATCGATTCTCGATATATATATTTATTAGTTGAGGTAGACATTTTCATCAAGAATTTATTACTGCGTGATATTATAAAAAAAATAAAAAAAAATGCAATCACCAATAAAAACTCGTTATCGTCTCATGGAAATTGAGTAAAAAAAACTACACTTTTATCTGTTGACGTGAAAATTCATATTCTGAATATTTTTCTTGATGTAAAAAAATACAATTATAACATTCCATAAAAAAGGTATTTTTATTAAATTTATTTATTCTATCGGGAGAAAATGAAAAACGAATAAATAAAACAGTTTTTAACTAACTCTCATTAAGTTTAAGTGAATATTTTGCAGAAAATCTTCTATTAATTAGCCATCAGTGAAATGAAGATAATAAAAAAAATTCCTTCTTTTTCATAGTACGAAATCTACAATTTGAACAAAAGAGATTATTACAAAAGAAATTTCGTTTAGAATCAGTAAGTTGGATTTTTTTAATTCCAATTTTATCTATATGAGATAAATTAAACGAATGAGAATATGAAAAGACGCATTAAAATCTGAGAAGAGAGAGACAGAGAGAAAGAGAGAGTGAGAGTCATTTCCCCCTGCTCCTCACACCAATTCAAATGAAAATTGCAATGGAAATCGAGATGAAATATCTTTGTGATGACTTTTAGAGAATTATTTGTCGTATTAACAGATGCGACATAGTTTCCGGAAATTTTCTCTCAACTGGATTCTATTCATAGTATAGGCCACGGTATATAAATTGGGAATGTCGACTTTTCCTCAGGTTGGCTCGCCGCAAGATCTGATTGGTGTCTGACGGTTAAATATCATGCCGTACCAGAGGCACAGTTTCTAGTGACTTATGTAATGCAGTTAAAAACATAATTAGTACTTCAAGAATAACAAGATTTCTGAGGAACCCTTGTAGCTTATTATTATTTATTTTTATTAATCATAATAATAAATTTTTAAATTGCTATAAAATTGTTATTTGAATCTTATTAAAAAAAATGGTGATAATGAAAATTTTTATAGATAATCATTTTAAAAATTGTATAAAAAATTTCCCTTTGATTTTCATGAGAGAATTTATAAATACTGAGAATGAATATAAATTGCATTATTATGGAATAATTTGACTAAATAATTGTAACTTCAACATAATTTTGGTGTATAATTATACGAGTAAAATCTCTGCATAAAATAATAATTAATATGCATATGCGACTAAAAACATTATTTTCCCTCAGCTAATATTGCATTTAATAAATACATAATTTTAAAAATGTGAATATAAATTATATTTCTATATTTATCATTAATAGTTTAAATATACCTAATTCAACATTTTTCATTATATTTATTATACATTGTAATATCAAAAAATTTACTAAAAAAAACAATTTATTTCAAATATATATTTCTGTAGAAAATTTAGAATTTTTTAAAAAACCCACCATATTAAATATGGTATCTAAAAAAGCATTTTAGTATTGGTTGTAAAACTTATTTTTTTAAAGAAAGATTCATACAAACAGTCAAATTAAAAGTTAGTATTAAACTGAGTACTTTTTGAGAAAAGAAGATTATATTTTTTAAAAATTATTTCGAGAAAAAATTTTTTCAAAATAATGTGAGTATACTATTAAAACAGCTAATTAAAAAACATATATATATATATATCTAATTCACTTGATACACCTAGAGATATAGGAGGGAGAAAAAACCTTTCGAGTTTATTCATGAACACTTGTGATGAGTAAAACTGTTGTCATTTGAGCTATTAGCAAAGCTGTAAATCACAAGAGACTGAAATTCGCATGACTCGTTCATTTTAGCCCTTCATGTTTCAAGGGGGTATTGTAGTGGTTTGGCATAGAGCCAAATTCCAAGGCTTCTGCAATTAAGGATATTAATTTTCATTTCCCGTAGACACGAGAAATCTACCTACGAAGCTTCATTAAAATTCTGATTCTAGTGATGAGTTCAAATTTTTTCTCAAAAAAAAAAATATATTTTTTTGGTTTAATTTTTTTCAGGCGCATATTATATTTTAAATAGTTTTGCAGAAGCATAATTTTTGACAAAAATAATTTACATATTATTATTTATAAGGATAATATCAATGTTTTGCATTTGAAGCACAAAATATAATGCGAAGGAAGTTTCCAGAGGGTTAAAGTATCTGTCGATTGCTCAGGTGATATTGACCAGTCGTCTAATGGAATTACTTATCCGATAAGTCAATGTAACCAGACCTATTCAAGTTAGAATCTACTTCAGTCTAATTGAATCTGGTTCTGCACTTTAGTTTCTTATGGATAATATCAAATAAATTGACATGAAAATTAACTAATTAGACTATAATTATAATATATAGATTCGTCTTTCATTTTTCTCTCCATGTCAAAGAATTAATAAAAAAATGATAAGTTTCGTATAATGTACAAACACTGATTGATAATATTTATTTGTATCAAATAATTTTTATTTCAATCAAATAAACTGTATTTATAGATACCAATAATAATTTCTGTATTTAAAATTTTCATGCAGTATAATTTCATTAAAGTATACTTGTACTTTTTATAAAAGTGTGTGGATAAAAATTTATTTTTAATCCTCGTATATTAATTGTAATTAGTGGTTCAATTTCCCTTGACTCGAATTTCAAGAGTAAATTAAACATGAAGTAATTAAAAGATTATTTTTTTTGTTCCAGGTACGTTGGTGGACTACAATTATCTGCAATTTGTCGGCAAAGTCTACGTGATGAAAGCAGTGGCAACGCATATGGTTTTAACATTTTGCTCATCATCGACAGATCAACATCCTGGATTACTTTATTCTGTATTAATGTCAAGAAATCATATTTTAAATATTGATGACATTAATGGTGTTCATAAATTATTAAATAGACGTGAATTGAAATTATCAAAAATCAAAAAATCATGCGCCAATGGTGGTGCTAATATTCAAAGAAGTAACTTAAATCTCGGTTGGCTGGTCCTGCTGGGAATTATCACGTCTTCCGGCCTTTTTTCAAGTTTCACTTGGCATTAATGTTCACTTTTTTTAAGCATAAAATTTACAATTTTTCAAATTATTATTATTATTGATTGCTTCCTTGTAGAACGAGGACTTTTGAAATGATTTTTTTGAAATCAATATTCGCGACTTTACCCTCTTTTAGAATAATTGTCAGGGATTTGAAGTGCATGAAAAGTCATATACATATATATACTTTCTTTATGCGCGCGGATATGGGATTTAAAAGCCAATTCTGACATGATTTAGATCCTCGAGATTTCAAAATCAAATCCTACAATTCACTCGTCGGGATCTTTGACACAGTCAATCTTTTGACGTTATACGTGATTCGAATTTAAAATGGAAAAAAAATTGACCCATCTCTTTCTCTCACTGTACGAATAGATACGTCTCATTTTTATTTGTAGAAAAGTACAGAGAGAGATTCATTTTTAAAAATTCGAATCTCATTTTCCTAATCTGAAATTTTTGTCTAATTTTTTTTATTCCTGACTGCAGAAATTTTATTCTTTAGAAAATTGATTCACGACAAAAAACGAAAAGTGAGAATGTAAATGAAAGATGAGAATAGACATTCTTCTTTAGGTATAAAGGTGCAATGTCCTTTATTTATTTATTTATTTTTATTATATAGGATAGAAAAACAAAAAAATTAGGTGATTTCGAAAAAGGTTGCGCGAAATGTTACTTTTTCTCAAAAAAAATTAATAAATTGAAGTGTGAAAATTGTTTAAATTCTAAACTCAGCTTTCTCGCAGTTACTTCATTCCGTTTTGAGTCATCATCAATCGGACTCAATTAAAGAGATTAAAGCTCGAGATCATTATTATAGACAATTTCATTTTGTGTCACGAAAATTGAGATCTCTTCATTTTCTAAATAGCAGAAATTCCATAAAATCATTTTTACACTATTTAGGAATTTTTTCACAAATTTATATATGCAATTTGATATATAAGAATTAACAGTGTCATTAATTCAAAGAATTATATACGAATTATTATATTATACAAATCGATAATAATATTAATAATAGTACTAATTACGCGCCAGTGTTCAAATGTAATTAGAATTTGGAAATTATTGCTTGTAAATTTAAAAATTGATTACGAATGGTTAGGAATTAAAATCTTGTTTTCTGTGAGAAGGTAGAGTTTTAATTTTCCTCTTATTTATCGAATTTAAAGAAAAACACTTACTTATCTTCTGAACAAAAAATATAAAAGACAAAACTAAAAAAATCAGAGGAATAAAAATAAAAAACTTTGCTTTATATGAGAAGGAGAAGTTTAAAACTCCACCTTATCACAGAAGGCAAAGAATAGTTTTTTTAGTTTTGCCCACAACATTTTTTTTCTTCAGGTGTGAATTTTATATATTAACAATGGAATTTATAAACACAAGTTAATTTAAAAAATATATTACAAAAAAAATTGTAGGTATTAAAAATTTATGTTAATTTTTTAAAAGAAACGAAAAAAGTTTTTAATGATTTTAAAAAAAATCAAATAAAAAATGTCAAATCTTAATAGTAACGAAGCATTCTTTATATAAATATAAAGAAAAAAAAGCAATACACTTCCGGAGCTTCGGGCTCTATTTTATCGTGCCCGAGGTTTTATATATCGAACCACCGATCCATTCGTGATGTTGGGGCACTTTTTTAAATTGCCCTATAAAAGTTTCAATACTTTCGCGGCGACAAAAGACGAGATGTGTAGTCTTATAAGCTCCATTAATTGCGAGGCATTCCTCCGAAATCCAAACAAAAAACTTTTCACAACAATACTTCAATAAGCCATGAAACAAATCCATAGCCGCGTTTCTCATTTATTCACATTTTTCTTTCCGTAAAATATCTCACCTGATAATATATATATATATATTGAGATTAGGCAAATTTGGAAATTAGAAATTTATTTTGTAACTTCGTGGTAGTTTTTAATCTTCTGAACAAAAAATGTAAATGACAAAACTAAAAACGCCTCCTTCACACAGAAAGTAAGATTTTAATTTGTATCTCTGACATTGTAATTTTGTAGTTTTTCACCATCCGCACAAAAAGTCTGACTGGAAACTTAAAAAATGTGTAAATAAAATTGTTTTTTGTGAGAAGGTGGAGTTTTAAACTTCTCCTTCTCACGTAAAGCAAAGTTTTTCATTGTTAGTCGTTTATTTTTTTTAGTTTTGCCATTCAAATTTTTTGTTCAAAAGGTTAAAAACTACAAGACTACGTAGTGACAAAAAAATTCACCTAAACCTTTTTTTCAATGACTACACTGAGAATATTTTGGATTTATAACATATCAGATGTAATATTCAAAATAGCAAAAAATAAAACAGAAAAAACTTAGAATTGAAGAGAAACAGTTGATTGAAAAATTATTGAGTCAGAAAATTTTTTCAATATAAAAATATATAGGTTAGTGAATATAATAATAAATTTTCTACCAGCGAACCTGTTCGAGTCACAATTTTTGTAATAATTTAATATATAAATAAATATATACATATGGGTTTTCCTTCGGAGGCCTTGGCCATAATTGTAAGTGTTCTTATTTATACTATATATCTTTTTGTACAGAAAGGCATAATTTTAAGACGTCTTTATTAATTATAATTATAATTAAGTATGACTGTGTGCGTAAATTATATATAGCGACTCCTTCCCTTTCGAAGATACATAAAATTTAAATTTTACTTCTCACATAAGCGTACCTTATAATAAAAAATATATATATAAATAGAATTTGCGGATGTTCTATGTATATGGGGGAGACTGGGGTCAATTTTAATAGAGGTCAATGGTAAAGTTGTTAATGACAAGACATAGTCTATTCAAACGTTCTAATTTCAAAACTATTTCTGTTTCACTTTTTTTATCAATTTGTTGAATTTTGATAAATTTACAAATAAAAAAAATAATTATTAACCTAACAATTATTATTATTACTTTTTTTATTTTTGTTATTCTTATTAATATTATAAATAATTATAATAATTATTTACTTACAAATTATTTTTAAAAATAAATAAAAGTTATTAAATAAAAATGATTTGATACAAAGAAATATTTATTTGATAATATTCAAGTAACCGATTATTTGAATCAAATAAATTTTTTTTCAACATAACCTTTTCTTTCATAAACAAGCACAAAAAAATATATAATAATTTTGCAAAATTCAATTATATATGTGGAAGGTGAACTGCAATTAATTTAATATACATAAGGCAATTCGTATTTAAATCTGATACTATATACCCTTGTTGAAAAGATTATCTTAATTAGAATAAATTCCAAAACATGTTGAGTTGAAAAAAAATTATTTAAAAAATTTTTAAATATGAGAACATTAATAAAATTCGAACTATAGTGAAAAATTTTCACACCTTTGTAAAAATTATGTCATTTAATAATTTTCATTTCCGTTAAAGTAAACAAGACATAGAGAGAGAAAGAGAGAGAATGACGTGAAAAATTAATTTACCTCTCCGCGAGATTCGTATTTGCACTTTGTATTTACATGTTGATTGCTTCATATTTTCCATCCGGCTCTCCTTTTATAAACATTTTTTTCTCTCATATACACATACATACACAATCTATTCATTCTCTCTGGACAAATAACTCTACTATTGTCACAAATAATTAGAAAATTACTCAAAAGCAAACAGTAAAAACGTATATAATCCAATTTTTGATCTTGAATCACGTAAAAGATTACAATTGAAGCTACTATGAAAATTTTTTGGATTTTTTTTCTGCTAATAAGTTTACGAATTTCAGTTCTTAATTTGTGATCTTTTTTCAACTTTATTTTTAATTATATGTATAAAAGATATATATTAATATTGATCTCCAGTCTCTAACATAATTTTAAATAATTTATTGTTGAATGCAAAAATGGAAGTATAAAATTTACGGTCTCGTGTAAATGACCTTAAAACGTAAAAAAAGTTAAAGTTTAAAAATTTACAATACTTTAAAAGATTAAAATCTTTTTAGATTCAGAAGCAAAAAAAAAAAAGAAAAAAATTAATGCAATTCAATGCTCTTAAGGAAATGTTTATAGAAAGAATGAAGTCGTATATACGACTAAAAACTATCTCTAATAGAAATTGCATTTGTTGAATTTCATCTAATTACACAAACTATTATTTTTTAAAATTATTAATTAATTTTTCATTATTAATTACTTTTTTTGCCTAAAATAACTGAAATATATTTTCTCCAAATTTTGTAACTCTACAGTTGTGTTTTCAAAATTTATATATATAAATAATATAATAATTAACATAATAAAAATTGTAATCATCGAATGATTTTTGCAATAATTTTTGCAAAAAAATCGAGACTACAAAAAAAATTTCAAAGTGTTAAAATAATCGATTTATTAAGAAATAACACTCGACACTATCGAATAGTAAAGAGAGCTATGTGACGTTGTGTTTAAATCGCTTTAGAGTCTTTATTTATTGTACAAATGCTCGACATTATTATTAATAATATACTGTAATTAGAATTAAGTAACTTCAATATTGTCGTATGCTTATTAAATATGTGTATAAAAAAAGGAAAAAAATAAAGAGTGACTGCGACATTTTTGAAAATGATTTCAAGTTTTTCTTTTATAAAACAGTTAAAAGTACAATTTCATTACAATTAACGCCCGACGTATAACTTGACTCGCAAAACCTAAGCGCCTTAACCATTGTAGCCAATGTTGGATTTAATAAAAAAAAAATTATCTAAAATTTTGTAGAATATAAAAAGAACTTTTACAATACAGGGGGAATTTTTTTTCTGAGAAAAATCGAAAATGGGACATGTAATTTGTATTTAAAATAGGAAAAAAAGAAGGAAAAAGAAAACTGTATCAAGGCCAGAGTGAGTCGAGCAATATCGTGTAACTAACTGCAGGGAGTAAACGATAATGAATAGTGGTGTATAGGTATATAGGATAGGTCATAAGAGGAAGGAACGAAGAAGCATGGAGGGTCCGATAATTAAGGTTAATTCAACAATTAACCCCCACCCCTCTATCATATCGAATAAACGCCCACATTCTCAACTTATGGTCCCAAGTAAATCTTTCTCTCTCTTCGCCTCATACATCCCTCTATATATCTTTGCATCGCTATTTTTTTTCCTTTAGTTCAAATCACACATTGATATACTTATATACAGTCTTTTGTGTATCACAAAAAGAGTTTTGAAACGGTCAAAGGGAATTCAACTACAAAAGAACTTTTCTGTGTATCGATCTTGTCGAGAAAATGTTTCATTGAATTCATACTTGTTGAAAAAGAGAAACGCGTACTTTGAAAAATGTTTAGTACAAAAAGTGTCTTCATATTTTTATTTAAAATTTTTTTTTTTTAATATGGCACTGATCAGAGCCGAACCACTTTACTTATCACTGATTCAAATTAAGAGAGTAAAAAATTTGAATGCCACATCATAAATAGGGAAATATGATCAGTACCTCATCTGGTCCACATTTCAATTTCTACATGAAATATATTGAAATTGATAAATCTCTCTTACTTCGTGTCTTAATTTCCTTATATTAGAAGTCTCTCTGTATAATGAAAAGTACGCAGTGAAGTAGAATTTTTAATCTTGTTAATTGATTCTCAAGTGAAGCAAATTTAATTTGAAAGAATTTAAGGAAATTTATTAAATATTTTATAATCAGTCTCAATATGATATATATATCTTCCGTCTTTCAGATTTGTTTGACAAAATGAAACAGAGGGAAATTTATCTTTTGAAACTTTAGTATTCGCTTACGCAAATTAATTTACTCCTTTTGCTATAACTATATAAGTTTTTTGTCGGCTTATACATTATTTCTCTACTGTATCAAAACTTATTAATATGGAACCCCAATTAAGAAAATTTTATAACTTTTTCATATTATTCTGAAATACAACTTCATCCTATTTGAAGGAATCAAAGAAATTATCAAAGTACTCAGTATACTGCATTTAATTTGCGTAGAAAACTTTATTAATTATCACGTTTTCTTTTTTTTTTAAATGGGGCTTTCAAATCTAAAAAATAATAATCGTATTTATATGAATTTGAAATTAATAATTTTATAACAAAAAATGTTTTCTGTAAACATTTGTTAGCATCTGTAACTGATTTATTCTTTTTCGTGTGCAGGAAATTTAAGATATTTAAAAAATTGTTTGACATGCATATTTTAAATTCTCGTTTAAGACAATTTGCTTAAAATAACAAGTTTGATTAACGTAATCAATCGCCTTGAAAATTAAAATAATTAGAATAGTCATTTCTTTAAATGCCAGAAAAACAAGTGAAACTATACAGAATTATTAGATAAAGGCTTTATTCTATCAAAAGCAAAGGTCCGCTAAAAGTTTCCTGTTGTGTGCTTCATAAACGAGGAAAGACGCCCACACTTGATAATCAAGATGCTAATAAGATAAATTGGTTAATAGCTTTGGTCGATTTAAAAATTTATTTGTTCCTACCGAAATTCGTAATATTTTCTCATTATTTTTTTCACCAAAATATATTATTATTATTAAAATGTAGTTTATATGTTTTTTTTGTAATTATAAATGAAGATATTAGGCCTAATATTATAAATTATTTCTGGAAAAAAATTGGTACGATTTTTGAATTATTTTTTCTTTTACGAATATTTAATATAAACTTTCTATCGAACTGAAAAATTAGTAAGGCTTTTAAGGCATCAAAAAAACACAATTTTCGCCGAAATACGTAAAAGCTAGTTACTTATTAGTAGTGACTACGTTGAAAAAAAATTACTTGACTTATTCGATTTTGAGGAAACATTTTTTTTTCATTTCATTTATATTTTTTAAGTGACAATGTTGGTCCAATATAAGTTGAATGTAGATTAAAAATAGGTTAAAAGTAGTTTCAGTAGATACAATATAGGCTCAATTCAAGATGCATTGTAGGTTTAAAGTAGTTTCAATTAATATAACAACCACGATAAAATATAACCTTTGAATATGTTAAACAAAACAGAAAAAATATATTTTTGCTTATAATTTGTAACTGCTGAGCAAGTAGGTTCCACACTATATATACTGTCTAAGACTCTAGAATAGCGATAATTTGATTCATGAATATTCACAGCAGGAGCTCTCTGTACGTAAGACCCTTACACACATATATATACATATAGCCAACAGCAATGTCGCCTATTATTATTATTATTATTTGAAAATGTAATATCCTGCCCAGATATCGGAATTCATCTCGATATGAATACATATTTGCAAGAGAGACCTAGGGAAAATGGTATATACATAGTTTGCGTTGATTATATATGAGTATATGACTTATACTAATAAATATGTATAGTGGTGAGAGTAACTAACACTACTAAAACCAAAACCAAATGTAATTTGATCGACCGTGGAAAATGGGCATGTAGGGGGTGAGATATGCTTGTTTGATCGTGAGCAATGTCCTCACGGGTCAATGAAGCGAAACTTTCAGAAGAGGTTTCGTCACAAAGTGTATTGAGCGTCTATAAAACGAAAGAAATTTTCGATTTTTCTGATAAAAAAAGAAAAAAATTGCAGATAGCAATTTTTTAAATGGATTTTTATATCACTGCACTTATAAATGTAATCAAGTTAGTTGTTATTATAATTTGGTTAACAGTAGTTCAAATCGAGTTCAGTCAGACTTAATAAATTTTTGTAACTAGTAGTAAATGTAACTTTCAGTCAGACAGCGTTTTAAATTCTTTTTACGAAATTTGTTATATGGGGGTTTTTAATTGTTCGATTCGTCGTGAAACTTATTATTCAGGGGTTTTTGGGGTCGCTGATTACGAATTTGAATTCGGAAATTTTTGATGTCGCTGATTGTCGAATATGAAATAAAAATTGTGGAATATAAAAAGAGAAATTGAAATTGAAATATAAATATTGAATTTCCAAAATTAAAATTTCAATTAAGGTAACTTTCACTTGAAAAATGGGTTTTTTTTGTTCGTGTTTTGTTGAAAAAAACGATAAAGCGAATTTCGACATGCGAGAGAGAGAATATTATTTTTAGAATCCCCTTTAACCGCAATGCCATATCGTCCTGAAACAAGTTGATTCATCTTTTGAGAATATAAGAAAATGATAAATGGCTGTGACTTTCAACGAGAGTGGGTTTCATCTCCCCTTTCTTTTTTCTTTCTCAAGTATATATATATATATATCCCTTTTTAACAACAAAAATATCTTTATTTTTTTTCATTTTTCAATAAATATGACATCATGGAGAAGAAATATTTATTATTAATTATAAAATCGAAAAAAGATAATACTTTGCAAAATAAAATTCTATAATTAATATTATGGATTTATAAATACATTTATGAATAAAATAAAGATTTTTTTAAATTTTTGTTTTTATTACATTCTATACAGGATATATAATCACATTTGAAATATTGGAAAAACCAAAGTAGATACTCTCTTTTTTTAATCCGTGATTTATATATTAGACTTTGTTTGCTATCTTTTCAATGCGCCTAGAGACAAGGAGGCGGTGTCTCTACCCTATAGAGAAGAGAGGTGCCTCTGTGAATATATATTACTACGTACTATCAATATTCAGGTACGAGAAGCGGAGTTTGCTTGACACAGTGAGAGAGGGGGGGGGGAACCAGAAAAGCGCATTTCATCGCGCTCAGAGTTTGAATCGTGAAAAGAATCGTCCACGGGATTTCATTTTATTTCCCCCTGCTCACTTTTACAGTCCATCTTTGTAAAACCGAATGATACAAACAAGAAAAGTTCCCAAACCATCGCATTGAATTTCCAATAATCCGCACTATTTTGTAAAACTAGAAATATATCTATCTAAAAATTTCAATAAAAAAATTGGGGTTTTCCATTTTTTCAATTGTTAAATATTTTGTAACAATATTTTTTACCTCTCGAAAATTACATCAAACTTGAATTATAATCACGATTTTTTTTATTTTTTACATTAAGAGAAAATTTTGGTTTAGAATTGTATAATAAATAAATAAAAAAATTAATTTTAATAATGTTTTAATGATAAATAGTTCAATATTATACTAAAAAAAACGATAAAAATAATTCTACGATTGTGAATCAACTAATTAGTTATGTAATTAATGGTAGGCCGAAAATATATAATACGAGATGAGATCTTGGGAAGAAATTTAATTTATTAATTATTTGATTAATGAATTATATTTAATCCCAAGACAGTAGTGCTGAAATGGAAGTGACCTGAGGATCTCTTAGCATTTTTTTTAAAAAGAACTTTGATGTCATTAAATAATTATTTAATTAACAGCAGACTTAATTAATATCAATCAACTTATGTCAGCAAATTTAATTTTTTATCTTCAATTAGTAATTCACGAATATTGTTTGACAAGCTCTCGAAAATTTAATTTCCGAATTTGATATTTATATAATATATGATTGGAGATTTATATTTTACAATTTTTTTCGCCTCCCCCTCGTGAGCAGGAAATGAATTCGTTTAAATTCAATTCCAGATATGAAATAACACATACTCTATAGAATTTTAGTTATATGTCTATGTATTTCTTGTATCGATTACTATA